CATTAGCACCACACATTCACTAGGTCCTAATCTCCTGTTATTTCACACCCCCACCCCCAGAGTTAGGTTTTTCTGCTAGGTTCAGGGCCGGTGCAGGCCTGAGGTCACCCTGCTTATGACGTATGTCCAAAATGGCACCTGCTCTTTGTCTTGCTCGCCTTTGAGAGGTGAGCAGAGAGAGAGAAATTCGTGTCCGTATCGGTCATTTTTTTTCCTCTCTCTTCTAGTTAGCCTGGTGAACTTTTCCCCATGGGGTTTCAAGCCTCGTTCCCTCTAGTTTCTTCTTTCCACTTGCCCGCTGGTGTCTCGGGCTATTGAGGTTCGGCTCACCTCGCGTTCCAGCGCTGGTGTGTTGATTCTGCCGCTGGTGTCCTGAAATGTGGGCTCCCACACTCTCCATGCAGGTCCACTGTGAATCACTAGTTCTGGAAGAGTTTCCTCTGCTGTTTCTTCCCCTACTCTTCCTTGAACCTGCAGTATCTCCACTTTTATTAAACTGTCTCTTCCCAGATTATCAGTGTGCTCCCTTCCTATTCCGCCATCTTGCTGCTCCCAAACTGGTATTCGAAGATCTTGACACCTGGATTCAGCCTGGCCCAGTCCTGGCCACTGGGGAGTAAACCAGTGGATGGAAGATCTCTCTCTTTCTGTAACTCTGTCTTTCAAATAAATAAATAAGTCTTAAAAAAAAGAAAAGAAATTACATCTTAACCCCTAACTCTATAGGTAAGATTAAATTCTCCTCTTTTTAATGAAATTGAACATTTTCACCATAATTTTAATAAAATCCTTACAGTGTATGAAAGATTTAAAAAAAAATTATAGTTGTAGAATACTGTGGTTCTCCCAGTTAAACAGAACCAATTAATATGCCCTTCCCTGATTAGACTACATAAGTAGACAGATGAATGAGCTTTTGGTCCTCTGGTCACACTCATAACCGTAACCCAAATGAAGAACAAAGTATACTAATACCCCAAGACTTCACTATTCCCCACCTCTCCTTTTTTCGAAATGTGGCAGAGAAGTATATACTATTTTTTACATAGCTTGATTCAGTGAAGCAATATTTATAATTATATACCAAATGGTTTGACATCCATGCAATTATTATGCTCTATCTAAATACTGAGTACGACAAGTAAGAGAAAACGTGACGTTTGTCATTTTGGGTCTAGCTTACTTCAGTTAGCATAAGGAGCTCCAGTTGCATCCACCTTGTTGCAGATGTGGGGATTTCATCCTTTTTAAGGCTGAGTAATATTCCATTGTGTATATCTATCCAATCATCAGGTGATGTTGACTCTATGTCTTTGCTATTGTGAATTGAGTCTTTTCTATACGTAGGTGTAAACTCTTTGAGACAGGAGTATGTCTATTTTAACGGATGGTGACAAGTGGGTAGTAAGGACTATGCTGTGTATATGGAGACATGTAGCAGGGTCTTCCTCAGAAGGAATACAATACTGCCAATGTTTGCTGTGAGTTTTCTACATGCCAGCTTTATTCTAAGAGCTATCAATGAAATCAATTGATGCATTCCTCATGAATTATGACAAACCAGGATCGAGTAACCCCTGCAAGTCATCAAATCTGAAAGTGGTAAGTAATAACAAGGGAAATAAACACAGAGATGCATTATTGTTTTTTAAATCATTTCCTCAACAACTAATGGAATTCCACAACAAAGGCTCACAGGGAAGTTGAATCCTTCTCACTGGCCAGATCCATGCCGTCCACAGTTTTCAGTATAATTTCTAGTTCAACTATGAGTTGCAATACATTCCCTTGGCCTTAGAGACACTTAAATTGGTTACAAGCAAAAATGAATGTGACCACATATTGTTCAGTATTTTTATCTTTATAATTAAACTAATCCCCAGTTATCAGAGTAGTTTTGTTTGCAGTTACTGTTCATATTGTATTCTTTCTTTTTTTTAAGATTTATTTTATTTATTTGAAAGACAGTTACAGAGAGAGGCAGAGACAGAGAGAAAGGTCTTCCATCCACTGGTTCACTCCCGAAATGGTTGCAATGGCCGGAGCTGCGCCAATCTGAAGTCAGGAGCCAGTAGCTTCCTCCAGGTCTCCCATATGGGTGCAGGACTTGGGCCATCTTCTACTGCTATTCCAGGCCATAGCAGAGAGCTGGGTCAGAAGAGGAGCAGCCAGGACTAGAACCGGTGCCCATATGGGATGCTGGCTCTTCAGGCCAGGGCTTTAACCCGCTGCGCCACAGCGCTGGCCTCCTTATTGTATTCTTTCTTACAAGTGTTTCTCGACAGAGAAGATTGCATGCAAATGTAATAGGCGCAAATTCACATATCTTATTAGGTGCACCCTACTGGCTGCCAAGACTTTCCAAACACTGTGACAGCACATTAGCAAATGGACTTTTGCAAAGATAAAAAATAAGTTTCTTTATGGATATGTGATGAAAACACAAGTCATGGACTTACCGTGAGCAATCAGAACTTGAAAGTGAATCCTGTTTCCTTTTTTTTTTCTTTTTCTTTTTGTAGATTTATTTATTTGAGAAGCAGAGCCACAGACAGAGAGAGGGATGGAGAGAGAGAGAGAGAGAGAGAGAGAGAGAGAGAGAGAGGTTTTCTATCCACTGGTTCACTCCTCAAATGACCACAATGGCAGGAGCTGGGCCAATCTGAAGCTAGGAGCCAGGAGCTTCTTCAAGGTGTCCCATGCAGGTGCAGGGGCCCAAGCACTTATGATATAAGGCAGGCAGGTAGGATCAAATTGATTAGATTTGTGAGTTGGAAGACCATGCCCCTGTGTGATCTCTCACCCCTACCTGACCCCCACCTGTACACCCCATCTGCCAATCAGACTATGTAACCACCCCTCTTTGGGAGTGGATAAAAGGTCTGGAGCACGATGCCCCTCCCCCCACCACCCTTATCCTCACCTCCAGGTATGTGGCCAGAGGCTGCCAGCTCTCTGCTTTCCTGCCTGCATGCTGGCTCCACGTGGCTCCCAGCCTGCTCTCAGCCTGGTATGGACCTAACTTGTGCTTCTAGACTTCTTTCTCCCTTAAATAAAGCCCTCACTTTCCTGCATATTTTTCTCACTGAATAAATGCTAAAACTGTACCATGTTGCTGTATCATTTATAAGCAGCCAATATTTAGAATTCTTATCTAAGTATATTTCAAGAACTCAAGAAACTTTGAATAAATTTTCCCGACTTCACTTAGGCCATTTCCACTGCTTTCCTAGGCACATTAGCAGGGAGCTGGATCAAAAGTGGAGCAGTTGGGACTTGAACCAATGACCATATGGGATACCAGTGCCACAGGCGGAGGCTCAACCTACTACAACACAGCGTCAGCCCCAAAAGTAAGTCCTGTTTCTAAATATAAACATTAAAATAAAAATCATCTATAATCCCACCATTCAATAATCACTACTCAATATATCAACACATTCCCTTCCACTCTTCTTTTTCTACCTTTTTAAACATAGTATATAAGTCACCTTTGAAGATTCTGTTAGGTAGGAAGTCAGATATGAGCTTATGTGTGTGTGACAAAGGCCTAAAGAAAAGACATCTATGTCCAGCATATGCATCTGCATCTCAAAGTCATCCTGATAACGGTTCAGGGGCAGCCCAGTATTCAGGGGCAGCCCAGTATTCGCATCCTGCCCTGCCCCCTTCTACCCGATAACCTGCCAGGTGGGGGTCCCCGCCCCTTCTGCCTGACAATCTTCCACAGTCCTCCAGATGCAGCCCAGTATCTGCATTTCAAATACTCTGCTTCCTCCTCTCTGATACCTTTAGGGGAAAACTCAGATAGGAACTTCTTAATATTTACATCCATAAAATCCTTTGTTTCAGGAGGAGATGTGTGAAGACAAAGACCCATCTCCTTAAAAACCCCCGGCCTCAACCAGAAGGTACGCTCAGCCCTCTGCCTCTCTGCTGAGCTGCCTGCCTGGCCTGCCCAGGTGTACTCTCTCCACTCAACCATGTAACCTCGCTCCTCCTCCCAGTCCAAGTAACTGGGCGCTCTCTCTCAGGTTCTGTCTGGAGAGGTGCCCATCAGTTCTTACAGATGTCCCTTCCCTAATAAACTTTGCTACTTTATTTTCCACTACTCTGTTTCACGCCTGAATTCTTTCTTGCGTGAAGACAAGAACCCTGTCATTCACCAGTAACAATTCTAGGTTCATTTGGGCCATTTATTCAAAAAGTTTGTCCCCTTGTCCCCAAAGGAAAAAATCCTATTGACTTTCTACTTCCTGTAATATACACAAATTCACTCCCTTCAAAGATAAGTCATTGGCAGGAAAAAAAAAATCAAGTGAAGATTTAATCACTCTGCCATTTCCTGTCCTTTTTGGAAGATAAATTCTTTCACTAAAATTAAAGATTAACAAAGCCTTCAATGATTAGCATGCATCCCTCTGTTCCTAAAGGTGACTTGGTCTTCTCAGTTGTTAGTTCTTACCAAGATACCTGCAGTAAAGGGTCAGGTTTAAGACACCCCTACCCCATCCCCACAGAGGGCCAGTGTTGTGGCCAAGTGGGTAAAGCAGCTGCCTGCGATGCTGGCATCCCATATGGGCGCCAACTCGTGTTCTGGATGTTCTACTTCTCATCCAGCTCCCTGATGATGGCCTGGGAATATTAGTGAGAGATGGCCCAAGTTTTTGGGCCACTGGCACCCACGTGGGAGCCCTGAGAGAAGCTCCTGGCTCAACTCCTGGCCATCTGGGGAGTAAACCAGCAGATGGAGGCTTTCTCTGTCTCTCCCTCCCTCTCTGTACTCTGACTTTCAAAATAAGTTAAAAAAACAAAAAGACCTCCATACATCTTTGCTTTACATCTCTGTTCATGGCCTTTCTGTGTTAGATATTTGTTAAATGATCAGTGGTGTTTCTCTTCCTATCACTGAGTTCTTCAGAAAGTAATATAAGCAAGTCAATATTTAACTGGATTCTTTGGCTCTGAAATGACAAAGTGGGAGTTGAAGGGAAGTCTCCATGGAAACCACCTCCCAGGCAGTGGCCAGAGGGGTTAGTGTGTGGTGAAACAGAGCTAGAAAGAGGCCATGAGGAAATGACTGGTTCTTAAAGCCAAGTACACTTCTGAAATACCTTGATGAAAATAAGCTGCATTAAAAGAACCTAAACCACTTCCCTTGTGGTTTACCCTTGAATGTCTTTCACATGAAATGGGTCTGAGGCACTCTAAGTCTCACCCTAGGGTGATCAAAGTAGCACCTTTGCGAAACAAAGAGGAAGAGACTGCCCCGGCAGGCCCTGTGGACTTCGCAATCAAACAGAACCTGGAAGAAAAGAGCTCATGTTCATTGCCAAGACTGCAGGACCAGAACAAAGCTTTGGAAGGACCACTGCCACCTCTACGAGAAACCTGGTACGGAAGATATTCTACAGGTGAGTCTCCAATGCAGCAGGAGTTTCGTGTGTATGGATCAAGGAGAGCTGTTGATAGATTTACCTGTCTCCATAATCTACTACTACATAATGCTACTAAGTCGCTGATCTGCAAGGGATCTTTCAAGGGGATTGACTATGGTCAAGTTAAAGTATTCTGGGTGCCTTGGAGTAGAAATAGAAGCTGGGGAGATCCTTTCACCACTGCCTAAGAGAAGAAAAACTCATTTTGTTTCAGTTTATAGTGCTTTCAGTGTCTACACCTAGCCTTGGCAGAGATTAAAATTATATGATCCTGATGTGATAAATGATAGTAATCACATGTTTCCGCTACAGTTGAAATTTAAATCCTTGTCTCTGGCACAGTTGGGTTTGTGGTTTTGAAGGTAGCACTTCACGAGTGAATCCACTCTGATGGGAATTTTAAAGCCACTACAAATAGCATGGATCCATTCCATATGAGTGGATCAGTCCCCCCTTCTCTAACCCAGACTCTTGATGGTCATCCACAGAACTAAGAGAACTTGTCCCATTATGACTGGAAGCTCTCAGCCCAACAGGGCTATAAACTACCTTGAAATATTTTATAAGAGACGTAAGATGTTTTCTGATGACTGCAATGAATGAAATAGACATTTTAATTTGGAAAGCTCAACATGTACTTATAATGCACATGAATGTATACATTTATTCATATTCTGGATCAGTAAAACAAGTATAACGCTCCTTACCAGATGACTTGGTCAGAAAATCGTATATTCTCTTTTGCAACCTTGCAGAACTTGCTCAGAGCGATTTGCATGGCTGTTTTCAATCCAGCTGACACTCAGGCTCTGTGTGGTCCGGTCTCCGTGTCCTTTATGTTCACCAATGTCTTAGATACATGAGGGAGAATTTCCCTCTTAGTTTCAGTGAAGAATTCCTTTTTTGATACAAAATCCCCTATCTGGAGTTTTAAGATTCTGCCAGCTCAGTGGTGAAAACAGATTCTAGTGCTTTCTAGTTGCTACTGGGAAAAATGTGTTTATTTTTGAAATTAAAAAAAAATTTTTTCATCATACAAGGAATAGGTAAGCATTCTGAACATTATTTTCAAGGAGTCCATAGCCTAACTCCAGCTTCACCAAATGCCAATTGTATGACCTTGATCAAGATACTGCATCAATTTTCTTCTTCTATAATTAGGAATCAGAATAATTGGCTGACACAGCCTGTGCCATTTAAGGACAATCAAATTGAACAATGGGGTGATATCGCTCACACCATCGTAGGAAAGTCAGGAGTAGTCAAACTGCTGAAAATAAATTTCAAAGAATATCTGCTCTTTAAAATCCCATATTTTGTTGCTGCTGTTTCTGCCCTGCTCCATGTGTCAGCATCCTTTTGAAAGGAAGTAAGGGCACAATTTCCATTCTACTAAGAATCAGAAAGAACAAAATCCTGAAAGCAGTCCTTCAAATGTCATAAGGAGAGACACATACTTTCACAAAACAGGAAGCAGTTAAGACATCCGCATTCCATATTGGAGTACCTGAGGTCAGTTCCCAGCTCCTGCTCTTGACTCCAGCTTCCTGCTAATACAGACCTTAGGAAGCAGTGGTGCTGCCAAGTAATTAGCTTCTTGCCACCCACCTAGAAGACCTTGACTGTGTTGCCAGCTTCCAGCTCCAGTCCCAGTCCTTGTGGGTATTTAGGGAGTGAATCTGCATGTGAAAGCACTCTCCTCTCTCTCTCTCTCTCTCTTTCAGATAACTTTTTTAAAACTAAGAAGCTAGGACTGTAGGAGAGTCTATGCAACAATCTAGAAATCAGTGTGCATGCAGACGGTTAAGAAGGGAAGACAAAAATTCCATCCATTTAGCATTGGTCATGGTAGCAAATGCAAGAGCCCAGGATAATCAAGCTAAAAAATAAAGTGGATCTGTTAAGTCTCTCTGTTTCTGAGCAGAGGCTTAACTCTGTAGCCCTGGCTTGCTGCATCAGAAAAGAATACTGATATGTCGTATTTTGTGGTAACTTCTGGGCATCTCTTTCCCTGGTTGGGGGCTGGGGGCATTATTTGATTATCCTCAAGCAATGCCAACATTGCACACTCTTGTTAGACATTCCTGCTCCATTTCTTTATCATCTCTCCACCTATATAATCACCTTTCCAACTACCTATCTGCCATCTATCTAATCTGAAAAGACAATTAGTTTCCTTTGTTAAAGCTATATTTTGTCTGGTTTCTTATTTGTGTGCATGTGGGGTGGGGGAAGATTTCCTGGAATTAAAGCAAATCAATATGTTTCTATTTTCCAGGCCAAATTGTATATTTGAACAGCATTTGTAGTGAAAATATTTTAATTTTTCTGATATCCCTCTAAATTAAACCAGAGGCAGAAATAAGGAATCAGAAATCAAGTCTTTGGGCAAGACTAAGTTTTAATGATTTGTATTCAAGTAGGGCCCTTGCTTTGTGTGTTTTCCTCCACATTCAAGATGTAGGTTGGAAAATATAATAGAAAAGGTACAAAATTGTGGTATCAGTTCATGATCACTTTGCCTGATTTAGCGGTAAATGGGTTTTAATTATATATTCTTGTTTCTCTTCCAATCTCTCAAGTGTCCCAGGCCATGTATTTTGACATCCCACTGGAACAGGGAGAAACAAGTATTATTAAAAGGCATCCACCCCGAAGACCTCAAGTAAGATGAATTTAAAAGGCTTCATAAGGAAATGCTTGGATTTAATGGTAACATCCTTTTTTAACTATAATCATAAAAGAGAGATCTTGATAATGATCATGCTGTTAAACAGAATGTTATAGGAAATACCTTAGGATTTCTTTCCGTAACAATTTCACTTTTAAGATCAACACCCAAGTACAATAGCAAAGACACAGATGTGGTGGACTCAAGGGACCCAAATTTTGCATTGATTAGCTGGGTAATTATCTGCTGGGTAATCACTTGTAAAGAATAATAGTAACTACTACTACTACTACTTCTGCAAGTAAGATACTATAGCAAAAAACTTGATCTATGCAATTCTGATATGAGCCAATCAGGGAGACAGGATTAGATTAATTAGATGCATGAGCTGGAGACTACACCCCACCTTGCCCCTACCTGATCTCATCTGTATCCACCCACCTGCCAATCAGACTACGTAACCACTCCCCTTTTGGAAGTGCATAAGAGGTGTGGAGGTGTGGAGTGTGCTGGGCCTGCTCTGCTCTTTCGTGTGTCTCCTGTGTGCTGCCTGGTTTTGCCTTCGTTCCTGCCCTTGTGGCTCCGGTCTGTGGACTCCCACACGTGGCCCCTGCCCTCCTGGCTCTGGTCTGTGGACTCCCACAGGTGGCCCCAGTCTGCCCTCTGAGATTCTGGTATGGAATTTCTCCTTTACCCTTCTTAGGCCCCTCACCCTTAATAGAACCCTTATGTTCCTGTATTACATATTTCTCTCACTCTCTAAATACACCCTAACCTTACCATATTGTCTGCTTCATTTGAGCCGGTATTTAGAATTCTTGTCTAAATAAGTGGCAAGGACCCCCCCCCAAATATTAATATTAGAATATGCTAGCCAATTAGCAATTCTTTAATTCTCTTAGTCTCCTAGAAAAAGGAAGTATCATTTTTGTTTTATGCGTGTGGTTCAGACACTTAAGTAACTTGTTCAAAGAGACAGAGGTGAGATATCCACAAGGTCTGTCTCCAAATGCCCCGCTGTTACCTGTCAGTGCAAGTGAGCTCTCGCCCTCCATCCCTAAACTTCTGACTTCCTAGATGTTCACTGCTTGCTGAAATTGGGTACACTAGATTCCAAGGCAGCAAAGCAAGAGCTTTAAATGTATCCAGCTTAATAAATATTTAACGGATTCCCTCTAGAGAGCTATAATTTCTGAAAACTCTCTCATCCTACAAAAAGAAATAGGTTGGATTGGGTCCTTGAAAATGAGCTTCAGCTGAAAGGAGGGTTGGGGCTGTCTGTGAGTAGGATCCGTCACTGACATTTGAACCAGGGAATTGGAGCCAAGCTTCACCTGTGCCACACTGGTCACCCAGATGCTTGGACCATGTGAACCAGACTCACTGTTGGGGATTATTTCTGTTGCAGCTGGTTTTCATTTACCTGTCTTATGCAGAAGCTCACAATATTATTCAATGTGATTGCATCCTTTGGTCCCCAAAGACCATTTTTTTTTCTCAGAATAATAGAAACTTCAAAATACCACTTGAAGAAAAATAAGTTAGGCCGGCGCCGCAGCTCAATAGGCTAATTCTCTGCCTGTGGCGCCGGCACCCCAGGTTCTAGTCACAGTCAGGGCGCCAGATTCTGTCCCGGTTGCTCTTCTTCCAGTCTAGCTCTCTGCTGTGGCCCAGGAGTGCAGTGGAGGATGGCCCAAGTTCTTGGGCCCTGCACCCGCATGGGAGACCAGGAGGAAGCATCTGGCTTCTGGCTTCAGATCAGCGCGGTGCGCCAGCTGCAGGCCATTGGGGGGGTGAACCAACGGAAAAGGAAGACCTTTCTCTGTCTCTCTCTCTCTCTCACTGTCCACTCTGCCTGTCAAAAAAAAATGCCTTAAAAGAAAAGTAAGTTATAAATTAATATCTAATTTCAATAACTTTTTAGCATATCTCTAGCTAATATGGTTAATTTTAAAACATTTTCTTTCTAAACCAAATGGTTCCTTTCAAAGGACTGTATGCAATGTATATTCCTGTAATGCTTCTAAGCTGATTGATTCAAATGGAAGATATTGGGATGGACATTTGGCATAGCACTTGCAACACTGGGTTGGGACATCATCTGCATCCCATATTGGAGTGCCTGGTTTATCCTAACTCTGCTTCTGGTCCTATCTTCATGCTAATGAGCATCCTGAGAACATCAGATGATGGCTCAAGTGGCTGAGTCCCTGCCACCCACATGGAGGACTCAGATTGAGACTGGACTCCTGACTTCGGCTTGATCCAGTGCTGGCTGTTGCAGACATTTGGAGAGCGAACAAAAAGACAGGAGATATTTTCTCTCCCTGTCTCCCTCTCCTTATCTTTGCTTCTCTCCCTTTCTCCCTCTTTCTCCTTCTTCCTTTCCCTACCTTTAGAATAAAATAAACAGGCTGGTGCTGTGGCTCAATAGGCCGGCACACCGGGTTCTAATCCCGGTTGGGGCGCTGGATTCTGTCCAGGTTGCCCCTCTTCCAGGCCAGCTCTCTGCTATGGCCAGGGAGTGCAGTGGAGGATGGCCCAGGTCCTTGGGCCCTGCATCCACATGGGAGACCAGGGGAAGCACCTGGCTCCTGCCTTCAGATCAACGCGGTGTGCCGGCCGCAGCGCGCCGGCCATGGTGGCCATTGGAGGGTGAACCAACGGCAAAAGGAAGACCTTTCTCTCTGTCTCTCTCTCTCTCACTGTCCACTCTGCCTGTCAAATAAAAAAAAAAAAAAAAGAATAAAATAAACATTTAAAAAACAGAAGATATTTCCATAAACAGTAAAAAAAGTTCATGTAGCATTCTATTGTTCAAAAAGCACTTTTTGTGTATACCAACGCTAAAAAAGCTGACGTTAGTTCTCCCAACGTCTATCAAGCTCAATAAGAAAATTCTGGTGCTTCAGAGACTAACACTGCACTTCTCACGCCCACCAGTCACCTGAAAAATAATCAAGACAAGTGAATTATTTGAGTGTAAAGTCTATCTTATTCAGTCTTATATTCAGCCACTAACAATATGCATTCCCTAAAAGTTTGTGAATGAGTGAATGAGCACATGCATGAATGAGAAAGAGACCCATTATCCCTGCGGGGAGGAAAAATAAAACAAACATGCAAAGTGCATTCCCTGCTAATGAAGATCTGTATCATCACTGTATTAGGAGTCCAGCTGATTATTCCAAGCTATCAATGGGATTAGTTATAAGGATAGTAATGCTTTATTAAACTCAAGAGCTGGAAAGCACCTGGATTTTCAGGAAGACTTGTGCCTTGGAACCTGGAAGGCAGACAGCTTCTCTGAGCAGCTCCCCTAAGCTCTTTTCCACGCATTTGCTTTACTCTTTCCTGGCAGGTTGGCTTTATCTACTTCTTGGGTTCATATGATGAAATATAAGGTTATTTCAAAATGTTTATGGAAATGTAATTAAAAGATAAGTTTATTTGGATGCAAAAAAGTTTTGAAAGCCATGCATAGTTTCTTTCATAACACTTCCCATAAACTTTTTGAAGATTCCACTTATGGCTGTGCTGAGAGTTTGCATTTTAGAGTTTCAGTCAAATGAACAGATTAGTCTAACTCTCTTGCCTCCAATTCCAAATTCCTGGGAGAAAAGATCTTATTGGCTCTGCTTTGCTCACGATTCCAGCTCTGGTCCAATAAGCTATGCTTACGCAGCAGAAATGTGGGCAGAGGAGTTACCCTGTCGCTTCTGCAGTCAGCTCCCAGAGAGGAGGGAAATCAGCAGGAACTTGGCAGACACTCCCAAAGATATCAACTATAATTATCTTCACAAATGGGGCTCAGCATATTTTTCTACCACAAATGGGTTTTTGAGAGAATAATAAATGCTAGGTTCCCATGACATGCTAATTAATAGCCTAATCTCTGCCAGAGAAAATTCTAAAGGTATTTTTAATTATTAAACCAAATCTAATTGTGTCCTAAGTCGTTTGAGTTGCACATTCAGCACCCTCCACTTGCTGAACATCCACTCCTCAAATACAGAGCAGGTCACGGACTAAGGTTCTCCAGTGTGGAGCTGGGAGCAGCTAAGACCCTCTGGCAGGGAATTCAGAACCAAGTGCATTTGCCCCAAAATTGAGGACAGCACTGCCCCTTCCGGCCACCCAGCCTGCTCACCTTCTCAATTAATCATTGCAGCTCCAGGCTAAACTGGAGGTGTTTCTCCCGTATAATGTGTTCTCAAGGTAATCTCCTTGGACAATTCTTCCATCTCAAAGATTTGTCCAAGTTGCCCCCATCCCCATACAGCCTACTCTGACCAATCTATGGACAGTGCAACCCTCATTTCAGTGGGCTTGATTACCCTGACATGTCACCACCTTTTCTTTTCCAAAAAAACACTAATTTCCACTTAACATACCAAGCACTTTACTTGTCTATTACGTTCATTGTGTATTTTCTTCACTTCAATGCTAGAATATAAACTTCACAGAGGAAAGATTTTTTTCTGTCTTCACTAAGGCACCTGAGTGTCTAGAACGGTGCCTGGCACACCACAGGCCATCTTAAGTATGTGTTGAATATTGGATGAATGAATTGGAGGAGAGAGAAAAAGGAGTACAAATCTGGTTGTTCTGACTTGGATGGTTTCATTAGGCTGTCTTTGGCATTAGACAATATTCAGTTGATTCAACCACAAACACAGCATAAATGTCCATTTACTCAGGTTTTCTTTCAGATCTTTCAATAATGGTTCATTATTTCTCCCCAGGGATCTTGAGCAATTCTGTTAGGTTCATTTCTACGCACCAGTATCAGTTAGGGTTCAACCACAGAAACAGAACTTGGAACTTAGAAGAGGATAGACAATAAAAGGCAAATTGCAAGCAATTGGCTTACATGGTTGTGGAGGCTGCCCAAGGCAGGTCTGAAATCCATGGGACAAGCCTGCGGGAGGGGCAGGCGGGCATGAGCCACAGCTGCTCTCAACAGCGGGAATTTCTTCAAGCTCTCTCCAGAT